ATAGACAAGAAACAGGACCCTTCAAAGAACACAGACCACTTTCTTAAAATGATCATGTTGCAGATAACTGAATAAAGCATATCATGCCAGTTTCTGCTTCAGGGAAGGCCGTGAGCAATTAAGACGTGTCCCGATTTCTCTGTAACTAGAAGCCTTATAGAAAAATGAGGCCATCTCCCTTTGTTGCAAGGGTTTGGTGGGGCATTTCCTAGTAAGTGCCGCAGGAAGCAGGAATGGATAACGTAATTATGAATAAACAAAGGCCTTGAGAGACAACCCTTCTTTTATGCACCTGCCTCCAAAAACCTTCCATTTCCTTCTGCTCCTCCAGGTCATACCCAGCGAAGAAAGATGAATCTATGTTGTGAAGAGATAGTAAATGTCAGAAAGTGTTATGGACTAAATGTTTGTGTCTCCCCAGAATTCCTACCTGGAGCCCTAACTGCAAAGGGATATATGTGGGAGGTGACTAGAGTTGGATGGGGTCATGAAGGTGGGGCCCTCAAAGAGATCTGTGTCCTCATAAGAAGAGACTCCAGGGCTGGGCGCGGTGGCTCACGCCTGTAATCCCAGCGGGTGGATCACGAGGTCAAGAGATTGAGACCAACCTGGTCAACATGGTGAAACCCCATCTCTACTAAAAATACAAAAAATTAGCTGGGCACGGTGGTGTGTGCCTGTAATCCCAGCTACTCAGGAGGCTGAGGCAGGAGAATTGCCTGAACCCAGGAGGCGGAGGTTGCGGTGAGCCGAGATCGCGCCATTGCACTCCAGCCTGGGTAACAAGAGCGAAACTCCGTCTCAAAAAAAAAAAAAAAAAGAAGAAGAGACCCCAGAGTTCTCTCTTGATCCACTACATGAGGACACAGTCAGAAGGCAGCTGTCTGCAAACCAGGAAGCGAGCCCTCCCCAGACCCCAACTGCACCGGCACCCTGATCTCACACTTCCAGCCTTCAGAACTCTGAGAAATGTCTGCTGTGTAAGCCACAAAGCCTGTGGCATTCTGTTGTGGCAGCTTGAACAAATTAATATAGTCCAAGTCTTAGTCCGACCAGCTCTTGGACTAACAGTTCAGGCAGGAAGTATTTAAGTCGATTCAGAAACTTCCTGACGTCAAGAACTATTTAAAACAAGCACTTTAAAAAAGATAAAAACTTTTTGAAGGAAAAAAACAAGGGAATAAATTCTAGAAATAGAGAAGAAAAGAAACCTCAAAAAGTTTCATCTTTTTAGCATCTGCAGGAATATCTACAAGTCTATCTTATTTTCTAAACATCCGGAAATAGGGGAGCAGGTGGGGTTTCTTAAATGACCCTAACCTCCAGGAGGCTGAGGCAGGAGAATTGCCTGAATGCAGGAGGCGGAGGTTGTGGTGAGCTGAGATTGTGCCATCGCACTCCAGCCTGGGTAACAAAAGCAAATCTCCAACTCAAAAAAAAAAAAAAAAAAAAAAAAAAAAAAAAAAATGACCCTAACCTCAATGACCTACTTACACCCCTTGAAAAACCGAAGTATAACCTTAAGAGTCTGATCACGGATTGAATCCCTAGGAAAGGCCAATCTCTTGATATGCATTACACCACTCAGCAGCCCAGCAAGGATCCTTATCCTCACTGTACAGCAGAAGGTGGCTTCTTTCCCTTCCTCTTTCCCGAAGCACCAGAATGCTATTTCCTCTGCTTCTGGCAGAAACAGAAAGGCTCAAAGACCCTATGTTTCTCAGAGGCGGAGAGTATAAAGTCTGATCTCTTTTCCCAGGTTTTTGAAAGCTAACTTCCTAGCTACTTTCAACGACCCATTTCTCTTCTATTTGTGCTAAACAGCTGAAAAATACTGTGCTCTTTAAAGAGTAAAACGAGGGCCTCATGGAGTGGATCATGCCTACAATCTCAACACTTTGAGAGGCTGAGGTGGGCAGATCACCTAAGCTCAGGAGTTCAAACTCAGCCTGAGCAACATAGTGAGATCCCATCTCTACAAAATAAGAAATTAAAAAGTTAGCCAGGGATGGTGGCACATGCCTGTAGCTCTGACCACTTGGGAGGCTGAGGTGGGAGGATCACTTGAGCCTGGGAAGTTGGGGCTGCAGTGAGACGAGATCACATCAGTGCACTCCAGCCTGGGAGACAGAGTGAGACCCTACTTCAAAAAATAAAATAAAAAGGAAGTAAAAGTAAAGGGCGATTATTTTTCACAATGGTGGCAGGAAGAGCTCACAGGGCAGGATGCTCATCACCGTGCCACACCTCCCTCCCACTGGACTTCTCCCCACCAGTTGTGGAAGTGGAACACTTTCCAGTGATTTCACGGTGTTCAGGAAAAGGAGAACACCGGCTTACTGTTTTCTATGCAGGTATGAAGTTTTATTCTCAGATACCTTTCAGTTAAGGAAGTGGTGCTACCACGTGAGTTACAGAAGTCATCATGGGACTTGAAATCAATTTGTACAAACCCGAAGTACTAGAATCTGTCCCCGTGCGGGCAGCAGGGGCAATAATAGCCTCTCTTCCCAGGATGCTATTCAGCTGAGTGACGTAACAGAATCCAGTTTCCATCTTGAAACTACCGTGTTTGAGGAACTCAAAGTCACACTTTTGAGTGTCTTTTCACTTTCCGTTTTTTTCTGCCTGACCATAACCTTTCCTGCAGATGATTGAAACGCTGTGGAAATAAGTTCTTGATGATGAATGTCTTTTCCAGGATATTTTTTTTTTTCTTTTCACGGGGTCTCACTGTGTCTTACGGGCTGGAGTGCAGTGGAGTGATCTCTGCTCACTGCAGCCTCTCCTTCCCAGGCTCAAGCGATCCTTCCACCTCAGCCCCCTAAGTAGCTGAGACTACAGGTGCACACCACCATGTCCAGCTAGTTTTTTCTATTTTTTGTAGAGATGGGGTTTCCCTGTGTTGCTCCAGCTCTCAAACTCCTAAGCTCAAGCAATCCACCCACTTGGCCTCCCAAACTGTTGGGATTACAGGTATGAGCCATCATGCTCCGCCTGTTTCAGAATCTTCAGAGGCCCCCAAGAACTCTTCAGTTAAATGAACTTATTTCCAGAAACCGCTTAGACACATAAACACAATTTACTTGTACATTATAAAGACCCCAAATTATCTAAAGAGGGAGACAACTCATCAGCAAATATTCCCTAAGTTTCCATGAGGGCATAGCCCATTCCTGCTTTCCCATAACTTCTCAGCGAAGAAATATCACAGTGAACATAAGAAGGCACTAGCAATCCTTTGCTTTGCTATAAATTTGTACACTGGCAAGCAGATACATATTTAGGAGCAAGCAGATATTGCTCCTCAAATTTATAAAGCAATTAGATACTAAGCGGAGATTTATACACACAACTTTACCCACAAAGGAAATGTTTCCTGCTAGGTTATGAATCCCAGGGCCAAGCAGGGCTTACATCCTCCCTCACAAATGACAGCCTCCTTGTCTGTCATCAGAGTCAAAAATCACTCAGGATAGAGATGGAGGTGTTGGCTGCTCCTCAAAACGGTGACAGCAATAGTACTAATAAAATAGCACGTTGCACGTCTCCATGCCTGCCAAACTTAACACAAATGCAAACACAGGACACAGGACCAGGAAGCGTATTCAATGAAAGCCTCTGAGTGACAGAAAAGGTAACTCCTCTCCTTCCTGTACTCAAGGCTAACATCAGCAACTAATATGGGAGGAAATTCTCTGGTGATTTAAATAAAGCCAAAAGCCACGTCCTTATTCCAGACCAGAATGAAGATTACCAATTTCTGAAAAAATACATATTTCTTCCTTGGCATCTCTAATTCTATAAGAATCCAATATTTCTGTTCTGAGGTTTCCCATTCAAAGGCTGGTAAGAAGAGGCAGTAAAGGGAATAGGGTGAGAGGGGCCCAGCACCTGGGAATCTGAATTGCACTGCCTATCTCCTAAAACAGGGGACCCTGGACAACTAGTTGAACTCCAATCTTTATTTTCTCTGCTGTGAAGTGAAATTCACAACAAACATGCATCAATTTTTTAGAATCAAAACAAACAACGTACCAGATGTAAAATCACCTGGCACATAGTAGACATTCAAAAATGGTTATTTTTTAAATACTGAGATTTTTAACTAGGTAGGTATGGCAGAGAGTGTAAGGCACTATTCTATCCCATCAAGCCTCTATAAGCCATCTGACAGTGAATATGACGCTAACCAAAATCTTATATGCCAGGAGAAATAGCATGATGATCTATTTACTCAGTGCTGTTTCTTGGTCAGACTGGATTGTGGTTTGGCTATTTGGATGGATGGATGGATGGATGGATGGATGGATGGATGGATGGATGGATGGATACATGAATGCTAGATGGGTAGGTGGATGAATGGACAGAGGAATGGATACATAGATAAAGGGATATATAGGTGGATGAGTAGGTGGATCAATTGGTGAATGGACAGACAGAGAAATGGGTACACAGATGGACAGAGATTTTGGAACCTACTTAAAAGACTATCAGAATTCCTAAAGAAAAGCATGGAGAATATGCTCAAGTCCTAATCTACTGTGTTTTTCCTTTCTTATTTTTTTTTTTTTTAATTTTTAAATTTTTTATTGGATTATAGGTTTTGGGGTACATGAGCAGAGCATGCAAGACAGTTGTGTAGGTACACACATGGCAGTGTGCTTTGCTTTTCTTCTCCCCTTCACCCACATTTGGCATTTCTCCCCAGGCTATCCCTCCCCACCTCCCCCTCCCACTGGCCCTCCCCTTTTCCCCAAGGAACTAGATCAACTTCCTTCCCTAAGGCCTCCAACATTGCTCTCTCCTTGGAGAACGCTATTGATTGAAGTCTTAGGTTTCAGTCTCTATAGAAAGCATTACGAAGTTAGAGTGCTTGATATTCACATACTCAGATATAAAAGATACCGCAGAGCTAATACATTTTCTAGAAACGCATCCAGAAAAACATCACATCTTTTTCTAAAATGCTGTACAGCAGCGAAAGGTTTGGCCCTTACCTGAAGGTGGGTCCATTCTGTATTTATTCTCTTGACACCAACCAACTGGTCGAAGTCTGTAATCCAAGTAAAACAACCACTGGTCATAGGATTCAGTGTCCTCCAATCCCACATAGCGAAGGCGTAATCTTCCTCCAACATTTTCAATCACACTAACTATCCAGTACTGAAAAGGGCTCTGGGAATCCTGAAGCTCTATTAAGGAACCAACTGTAATGAGGTCTATAGGGCCTTTCCCTCGCAGAGGCTGTTTAAACAGAAGCAAAACTCCTTATTTTAAACTTTATTTTAAGGTTCTCATGGAAACAGATGACAGCAGAAGATAATATTTTTTTCATACCATCATCCAAGGTACTGGCGAACAGTCTGGCGTTCCCTCCACCCCACCCTCGCCCAGCCCACGCCCGCCCCTTCCCTTCCCTCCCTCCCACACATTCATGTACCCATTCCATATCCAACAACTTTCCCAAATCAATAGAAAGTAACAGTTTGTGCTAAGTTCTCACCAAACAAATCACCCTTCCCAGATAAAATTGCATTTTTTGTTTTGTTTTGTTTTGTTTTGTTTTGAGGCGGAGTTTCGCTCTTGTTACCCAGGCTGGAGTGCAATGGCACAATCTCGGCTCACCTCAACCTCCGCCTCCTGGGTTCAGGCAATTCTCCTGCCTCAGCCTCCTGAGTAGCTGGGGTTACAGGCACGCGCCACCATGCCCAGCTAATTTTTCGTATTTTCAGTAGAGACGGGGTTTCAGCATGTTGACCAGGATGGTCTCGATCTCTCGCCCTCATGATCCACCCGCCTCGGCCTCCCAAAGCGCTGGGATTACAGGCATGAGCCACCGTGCCCGGCCAAAATTGCATTTGTTAAGAATCAGTATGCTTTTAAGAAGAGTTCTGCCCAAATTTGCCTGGACCTAGAAAACATGTGGTGGCAAACTGTCTACTTTCCCAATAGACAAGTATTTCCAATACGGGGCACTCAACGTATACCATGACCTTTTCCCAGACATTTGTCTTACTCTAATGACCAAGATGCTCTCAAACTTTAATTCTGTGACGAAAGCAACACTGTGTGTTGATGACACGTCTAACACACAGTAATAATCAGCTGAATTAGACTCCTATGTCAAGTTGTTTCTCTACTTAACCTGATAATTGGTTTAGAGCATTTATAATTACTGCCCCTTCTAAGAAACGGTCTTAGCACATGACAGCATAGGAAAAGGGTGTTTGTTCAGCCAGCTTTGTAGGCAAATATGTTTTAGAAAATCAACACAGTAACACAATTTATCCTTTTGAAAGGATGAACTATCATTTTGATTTGTTAATGAAAAATTAAAATAGCAGCTATGAAGATATATAACAAACACATCAGGCAAAATCTTCACAGAGCAAAAACCCATGAACTATATTAGACAATGACATTCTAAAGTGTCAATATCATTTAAGAAAAGAGGGAAAGTTTAAGAGAATATGATACTGTTGAATTCCACACCTTATTACTTGTTTTTCACCGTTTTTCCCTTTTTAGGGGCATTCTTAGGAAAAACAGACTGGGTATTTTAATAATTATTTATGACACCGTGCCTATCTCTTCCTGTTCTACTATGTAAATAAATACAAATACAAATCCTAAAATTTTTCATCATAAAATTATTTTCAAATAAACCACCAAGATTTCAGATTAAACTATTTTTTCTTTGACATATTAAAATTTCCTTGGCTACACTGAAATATGATCTGTCATTTCTCCCCTTGTTTTTACATGGAAAGTTAATTCAATTATTGGTTAACATGTGTCTGATCAAATCTTGGGGTTATGCATCCAAAATGGAACATTTAATGGAACCACTTATCACGGTACTCCAAGAGACTATATTGGCACACACACAACCTTGTCACCTTTCAAAACAGTTATGCTACAGGATTTCATTTATATTCACTCATATAGGAAGGAGGTTTAAACATATAAGATAGTGGGAAGATATCCTAGTATAATGTGATTTGAAAATTGGATTGACACGGAGCAAATTTTCCATTTGCTGATTGCATCACAGGGGCAGTTTCATTAATGCCATTCAAACCAGTCACCTAAGTAATTCAGGACAAAACAGGAAGGGAGGCTATTTGGATGGCAGTGTCTGCGGAAAGCACGCATCTGCAGAAGGATATATGCAAAGCTGCTGTCAGGTCTGAGCTCACGCAACTGGGGTGCTTCAGAGATAGATTAGATGTATAACAACAATACATACACCTTCCAGGAGGTTGGCAGGTGCTGTCCTCGAACCGGTCAAGTCACGTATGAGAAATTCTGTCCAGTCTGTGTACTTCTCTTTGATTGCTGGCAAGACAAAGGAGAAAAAAAACGCTTCAACACAGCAGCCAAGTATCCAGTCAACTTAAAACCACAGCAGTTCCGTCTGTGTAAGTTTGATTTCAATATTTTCCTTGACTTTCATCACCAGGCTTAAGTAAATACTGAAACTGAGACCAAAGATGCGTCTGTAAGTAGTGACTTGGCGTCTGTAAGTAGTGACGCGCCTGGGCACCAAGGAGATGAAAGAATCTGAAGTCTTATGACCTATTTAGAAACCTTTCACAAGCCACAAAGGAATTAGAAAGTATACAATTTAGGAGTTTCCAAAAAGAGAGAGAGAGACCAATGAGGCTAGCGACATCAGAGAAGGGTTTTCAGGTGGGAAAATCAAGCCAGGCCCCAAATGACATAAAAAGTTTATACAGGTGCAGAAGAAGAAGGAATCTGCAGACAGAGACATGGACACACAATAACAAGAGGGGTGGATTGAAGGTGAAATGGAGAAACAGAGAAATGGGAGAAATAAGTAGTCCCCCTTCGTATCCATGGGTTTCTCATCCCTGGGTTCAATTCAACCGAGCATCAAAAATACATGAAAGAAATGCATCTTTACTGAACATGTACACTTTTTTCCTCGTCATTATCCTCCAAAAACTCCAGTGTAACAACTATTTACATAGCATCTACATGTAGTAGTCACTACAAGTAATCCAGAGATGATTTAAGGTTTGCAGGAGGATGTGCATAGGTTATTTTCTGTTCAAGACTTGAGCATCTGCAAATTCTAGTACCCTTGAGGGTCCTGAGCCAATCCGGCAAGGGATCCCAAGGGACGACTGCAGAGTAAACAGCCAGGCTAAGGCACACTTCACGCGCACAGCACTGGGAAATAATATTGACTGGTAGGAATTAACTATGGACAGCTTGGGAAATCAACAGACATTCCAGAAACAGGAAATGTCTTTATAAAATGATAGAGTATAATAGTATAATGGTTTGAATGGCAAGAAAAGAGTCTAAAAGCAGGGAAACTGAGGCTGCTTCAGTGATCCAAGTAGAAATGTGATAGGACCCAAAACAGGGGTGACAACCCTGTGAACAAGGAAGGACTGCATTTGAGGCATCTTTTGAAAAAGAAATATCAGGCCATGTTGGGCAACATTCTACAAGCTTAGAACCCAAGACCTGAGAAAAGCATACCTTCTTGGCATGTCTCCCAAGCTACAGATCTCCAAAGGCTTCACTGGGCTGTACCCACATCCCTGAGGGGCCTGAGCCTTCCCAGTGAACCAAGGGATGGTCAGCAGAAATGACAGCAAGACCCTAGCCCCAGATTCCCACCCACCACAGCCAGCTTTCCATGTGGGCAGCCCAGGATCCAACCAGGACTTCACTCAGTCCCCATTAAAGGTTCGAGACTCAAGTAGCTTGTGCATTCTTTAGGTTCTTCAACGGCTCAATGCAACCCTTCTGGCTCAAACCTAAAGCAATGAAATTACTACAAAAGGGAAGATGCCATAAGTAGGTGGGGACAGATCTGGGCACCAAGGTGCTTCTTCCATCACTGGATGTATGACTTTGAACAATTTACTAAATTTCTCTTAAACTCTTTCCTAGCCAGTCACAGGGTGTCAGGTTACCAACAATATTTTGCTTATAAGGGTTGTTCTGAGGACTAAGGAGAGACATATGCAAATAAAATATAACCATCCCAGGCACATACCAAGCAACTTACAAATACTAGCTCTTGCTTTATTACAAATGTGTGCCAAATTATTACATGTATCTTTGTAATCTGCTGGTTACTGATTATTCATACTTACGATATCCAGATCGAAACTTCCAATGAGCTCGGGCAGAACTGCCAGTGGAATGGAGACCAACATATAAGCTAAGTAGTGGCTGGACCTGCTGCTTAATCACTAATGTGCCTCTCACTCAACATCCACCCACGTCCAAGGACGATCATGAGACCAAGAGCAAAACCCACATGCACAGAACTCAGGCAAACAAGGCCGAGTCCAGCTTTACCTTACACAGCAACGTCCCAGCCCCGCCCCGCTTATAATAAAGAATAACTCATCTGTTTGTCCGCTTTCATCACCAGATTTTTTTTTTTTCTCAAATAAAATGCCACCTTCCTTATTTCAGACACACATACTCACACAGAAATACAAATATAGAAATACTGCATGCTCAGCACTTTGGGAGGCTGAGCATAAAACCATGTTCTTGTGTTACCTTCCATCGTTATAAATGTGGTCATCATTTTTCTTTTTTTTTTTTTTTGAGATGGAGTTTCGCTCTTGTTACCCAGGCTGGAGTGCAATGGTGTGATCTCGGCTCACCGCAACCTCTGCCTCCCGGGTTCAGGCAATTCTCCTGCCTCAGCCTCCCGAGTAGCTGGGATTACAGGCACGCGCCACCATGCCCAGCTAATTTTTCTTATATATTTAGTAGAGACGGGGTTTCACCGTGTCAACCAGGATGGTCTCGATCTCCTGACCTCGTGATCCACCCGCCTCAGCCTCCCAAAGTGCTGGGATTACAGGCTTGAGCCAGCGCACGCGGCCAGTCATCATTTTTCAAATGCTACACCCTTTTTGAAAGTGGCCCCTTGCGGCTAGGGTCACTGAGAAAAAAGCAAAGACGAAAAAGCCAAATGAACTAAGACCCGTACTCACCTTATGCTGTACGAAGACCCTTCATTCACTGTTTCCTCCTAACAATGCTAACACGTGCTTCTTCTTCACTAACTCCTGCCCAAGTTCACAGAAAAAGCTAGAAACAGCCTCAACCCCGCAAGTGTTCAGAGCCCAATCTCATGTGGAATCTTTCCACTAGAATCTCTGATTCTCCAGCGCTTTTGCAAACAGATAAATCAGTAATTCAAATTGCAGGCACGATGATGGAGATTTAGGAAAACGACTCACATAAGTTTCAAGATTAGAACAGAATATACAATGTATCCCATAAATATACATTTCATATCTCATTAGGAAAGAATAACAATTATTATAATCCAGCGATAAACAGTCCTGTGCCTAACACAAGACATCTGTAACCACTCCTGGAAGAAAGGTCTATTTTCCACGGGGTTCTTTCTAACATGCATATGATTCAAGTTAACATTTAAGTGAAAATTTTTAAAATAGGCAAGCACCCTATGAAGTCACCGCACAACGCTGAAATTTAAATTGTCAAAGTCACAGCAAGGGAACGCTAGGGACAGCTCTGACATTTACATTGTGCAAGCCTCAAGTTCCGGAGGTCCCATAGGTTTCCTTTATGTGTGTCTGCACGAGACTCAAGCATCCTTTTATGAGCCACAGAATATCTAAATGAATTGCTCTCCATAGAGGATGTATCTATAAAGCTATAAAAGATACAGACCACCTTAGGTTAAAAATCAGAAAAGAAACGTTCTCAAGAATCTTGCTAATTTTACAAGAAAAACTATTTCAGTCAACATTTAGCTCTCAGCTCTAAATTTTCAAATGTACCATAAACCTATTACAATGAATGCTGCCATAAAATAAAAACTAAGTATAATCAATTTACAATTCCTAGTCCATGGAGTTACTCCGACCACTGATTAATTCAGTTAAATTCTGGTACCATAAAAGTTGTCTTGTAATTCCTCAGAATTCACCGCAGTGGAAACTAATTGGCATTGCTCAGTGTGATTACTCAAACTTCTAAGTAGAAATTTTAAAATATAAACTTTTATTCTGCAGGACATTTCTCTTTCAGGACTCCAACACTTAGGGAGGCTGAGGCAGGAGGATAACTTGAGCCCAGGAGTTCAAGACTATCCTGGGGAACAAAGCAAGACCCCATCTCTACAAATTTTTTTTAATCAGCTGGGCATGGTGGTGGGTGGCTGTAGTCCCAGCTGCTTGGGAGGCTGAGGCAGGAAAATGGTGTGAGCCCAGGAGTTGGAGGCTGCAGTGGGCTATGGTCACACCCCTGCACTGCAGCCTGGGTAACACAGTAAGACCATGTCTCTAAAAAAAGAAAAAGCATGGCCGGGCTCGGTGGCTCAAGCCTGTAATCCCAGCACTTTGGGAGGCCAAGGCGGGTGGATCACGATGTCAAGAGATCGAGACCATCCTGGTCAACATGGTGAAACCCCATCTCTACTAAAAACACAAAAAATTAGCTGGGCATGGTGGCGCGCGCCTGTAATCCCAGCTACTCAGGAGGCTGAGGCAGGAGAATTGCCTGAACCCAGGGGGCGGAGGTTGCGGTGAGCCGAGATCGCGCCATTGCACTCCAGCCTGGGTAACAACAGCAAAACTCCGTCTCAAAAAAAAAAAAAGAAAAGAAAAAGAAAAAGCAAGCAAGCTATCTATAAATTGAGTCCCAGATAAAGGCAGGCTTCTGAAAAGCCATAACTTTTTCAGAATTTGGGAAAACACCACTAATGTTGGATTTCGAGCCCCATCAACTGCACACCCACATAGAGTCTGATGCTGGGCCACCTCTCAGGGACGTGAGCTGTGTAGATCGGGCTGTGGGTACAAAGCCCTCTGTCAGGGCTGCCCATGCAGGCAGATCATGAACAAGGAGACCCCTGCTGGGATCAGGACAACAGACACTGCCAGCCCTGGCTCCTCAGTGCATTCCCATGTCACAGTAGAACAAACAGGTCTGTTCTGAGAGGTCTGAGACCAGCCACACTGTGCCTACCCATTCTCTGAGAGATGGGGAGAGTCATTACAAAGAGAAAGGTCATTTTCACTCATACCCACTCTAGCCCACAGGAAGGGAGTTTGAGTACCATCCCTACCTGCTAACGCTTAGACACACAGGATATTTCATTTTCCCTTGTCTTTCTGGGTAATTTTCTGAACTTACTTCCAATCAACCATTCTTTGAACTACTTCTGTGGGTCACAGTTTTGGCTTGCATTGGTTCTTTCTTGATTCTGGTGGCTCCTTCCTTCTAAAAGTGTTTTTTTTTTTTTTAACAAGATGCCCTTTGCAAAACCTTTCAATATGGGAATGAGAGTTGTTTCTCCT